TACGGTGTGTGCAAAAGAAGTTCAGTGATTCAATCATCCTCGGAGACCCAGGGGCAGTCAGTCGGGTCGGGAAAAAAGGCGGGACGAAAGTTTTCAAGTAAGGGCGGAAGAGCCCCTGGGTACCGGCTCTCACAGAACTATTTCCAAAAATTCGAGCGGATGCCGGCTCCTGATTGGGCACAAAAAATGCTTTGTATTATTGTGCCCAATCGGCGAACAGTTTCTCCTGAGTTCTTTTCGTGAGTTTGTACACGACGGCTATTGTCTCGCCACACTTGCCCGGTTCGTTCACCAAGCTTGTGCGTACAAGGGAAACTTTTATTTTCTACTTTCCTAACCAGAAACAAAGGAACTACCGATGAGTTGAATAAACGTTTGGGTTACTATCAGCAAGAGCAATTGAATTTGCCCCGAGAATATTCCGTTTTTGACGGATCACAATTAAGAGGCAGCGGCGATGAGAAATTCAAATGAGTAACAGCTTGACAAGGCACAACAACAACTTTGCACGTGCATCACGCTTTTTTGTACATTTCTTTGCTGTCAACTGCACGACTACTCGTGAAAATGCCAAATTTCACGTTTTGTGAAGGACGTAAACAAGCAATAACAAAATTCATTCTCTCTTCATGAACTTTGATATGGTTCAGAAGAGTTCGCTTGCATTTGTCAAAGTAAGCGAGTTGGATCAGATGGGGATTTTATATCAAACTGAAAGTTTCCTGACTGCGTGCATTTCTCAGTGCATAGGTGGTTTTCATGTTACGTCATCGCCGCCATGCTGGTGGACGGTAAACAAAAGATCGCTCATTAGCTCGCTTTGTTTGTACACCAGCATTTGTTCATTTCACCATTGTTATTTGTCTCTCCCGAGATTGCATGAAAACCACCTATAAGCTACAACAGACAAACCGTGATCGAGACAATAGCCGTCATGTAAGAACACACGAAAAGAACTTATTGAGATGTGTTCGCCGATTGGGCACAATAGTACAAAGCATTTTTTGTGCCCAATCAGGAGCCGGCATCTGCTTGAATTTTTGGAAATGGTCCGTTGAGAGTCGGTACCCAGGGGCTCTTTCGCCCGTAATAAAAACTTTCGTCCCGCCTTTTCTCCCAACCCGACTGACTGCCCCTGGGTCTCCGAGGATGTGATTCAATTAACTACTCAGTACTTACCGTATTTCCTCGAATAATAGCAGGGGGCGATTATTCTAGGGAAGCGATTATTTCATAATATCATAGGTGACGAATTACTCCTTAATTTTGGCGCGAAATTTCAGCGATAATTTGTAATTTCATATGTGAAATTACAAAATTGCCATGGCAACCTGCCTTCAAGATGGCGACGAAGTTTTAAAATGTCATGAATGAAGATGCCAGGGCATAAAAAGACGTTTTAGAAAACCTGAACACACGAAAAAGCACATCAAGAAGGATTCTTAGAGGTATGTTGTCGAAAAATTCTGAAAACATAAGCAAAATTTCAGCTCTAAACGTTTGAGAGAGTGGAGCTCACGATCGATCGATACGATCCAGGATAAACAAGTCAAATATCAGTGCCGTAGCCAGACCAAACGGCCAACCGAGGCAGGCGGGAGTTGCTAGGGGGGTTCGGGGGCATGCCCCCCGAGAAATTTTGAACTTTAGTCTCTCGGAAATGCGATTTGCAGCGTTTTCTGGGCCTTTCGGTAACTTTTTTTCGAGTTAATTTAAGTGGAATTTAAAAAGCAATAATCAGAAACAGGCTACATAATCTGGGTGACCGTTAACCTCGCCGATGGTTTTGATCAGTATTTGTTCAAAAAAAATTTGAGTTAACGTACGTAGCCCCTTGAGATCGATGATATGGTAATTTTTTCATAGTATATTGACTGAATTGCTGAATTCTTTGTAATATCATGATGCGTTAAAAATATCCGATGATCGCTTATGTAAAATAAAAATGATCGGCGAAATTCGTCAAAATTTTACCGAGGCGAGTGCCTCGGTTGGCCTCATACTAGCTACGGCGCGGAATATCCGCGATTGCTTAGGTAATTCGTCACCCATTATACTAATAGGTAATCAAATGGTATTCTAGTGAAATAAGGGAATAACTTCACTTGTGTTTTGTCCAAATCCTAATTGTAAGGATTTCGACAAAACGGGCGTGAAATTATTCCCTAATTTCACTCGTCACCATTTGATTACACATACATATTGTTCACTGGTAGTCGTGCCCTAAATATTTTGTGCTATTCAGTCCCATTAAATCAAAAATAATCACATCAAAGAAACTGAACATGCACCTGGGCTTTTTAAGTGTTCCAAATCTGGTTCCTTGATTATAAATTTCCACTGTCAATTTTCTCGGCATCATCACTGATCAGTTTTGCTGCCAGGATCAGACTCCTCTTCAGCCCCATCCTCCACCAATAGTGGTGGGAGGGGGGCGATTAATCGAGGGATGGCTATATTATTTGAGGGAAATATGGTAATTAATTAACATAACAATTCACTAAGATAAGGAATCACTCTTGAAGATCAATAACACAGAAAACGAAAATTGAGAAATTAAAAGGTTAACAACCATCCACATAGACCAACTTTTTTTATAACATAGCCAGAAAATTCGCCTAATCAAATTCAATAGTGCGAGCGTGCTTCATATTCCTATTGAGCACGCTGTTGACGTCAATAAACTATTCGTAATTCGTCGAGTTGTGAGCTTATAGCAATCCTGAGTCTCTGAGTGCACCATAACTCAGCAGTACACGATGAAGCGTTAACCATGTGTTTTAAAAGGAAATTTAAGAGGAAACGTTTGAATTTGCTAACCGATAGGGAAAAGAGGTGAGTGTTGTTGTTGAGCCTCAAGAGGCTAGAGTTGCACTCGGCTGCGCCTTGTGCAACTCTTACACGCCTCTTTCGTGCTCTCCAAACTTCCTGCGTGCTCAATATCTCGACATACGCACACGCTGACGCATGAACTAATTGTTAAATGATTATCACGGGGATTTAAATATAGTCATCTTCTTTTTCTAAGATATCAAATTAATAGCAATTTACGAAGAACTCTTTTGGAATGTTTTCATTGGCAGATCCGTTATATAATGTGGTATCTCATTCCACACCATTCAGTTATTACTGAGATTGTTAGTAAATATGTTATACTGCTGTAGTAGATTTGAAGTATACTTATTTCCTACTGCAAAAGAAAGAAAAGCACTCCTACATCAAAAGTATACTCTAATATACCCTTCAATTCATGCAGTACAAAAGGGGTAATAATACTGGAAGTATACTTATCATCAGTAATTGCTGATACCGTATACTCTGAGTATACTAGAAGTACACTTCTCTATCAAACGTTTTTGTATATTTAGCTACCCTAAGCCTGTAGAAAGACTGTGCATAAACCATTATTATTATTATTATTATTATTATTTAGGTTTTAAAGTTTCCCTGTTTTAGTTGCTTGTTCTGCTGTTGTTTTATTCTTTTAAAACAATTCAATGTAGGGATTGGCGTAATTTTCACTCTGCTTTTTAGAAAGGTCTTTGTTTTATTAGAAATTTTTATGTTGAATTGCTTTGTGATACTTTTAATTGATTTGCAGTGATTTATTTTTCCTGCAGCCTGGGTCAGGATTGGTTCTGCCTCCTACAGCTGACCCAGAGAAAAGAAGATTGATACAGCAGCAACTTGTTCTTTTGCTCCATGCACATAAATGTCAGAGGCGGGAACAGCAAGCTCAAAATGGTGCTGTACAACCTTGCAACTTACCCCATTGTCGAGCAATGAAAAATGTTTTAAACCACATGACAACTTGTACAGCAGGAGAAACATGCCAAGGTTTGTTAGTGTTTTTAGAATTTGTGGCTGAGTTACTAATAGATACGTATGCTTAGACCTAATTACGTATCCCTTCATATATTTGCGAAGCTCACTGCATAAGGTAATAATGTAAATCAATAATGTTTTTGCTCATAAATTAAATAATTGAACATCATCTTTTTTTGACTTCATTATTATATATACATGTTATTTCTCTTTTTAGTCTGCATTGAATTTTGGTAAGAAAAGAGATATTATCCTTTTCTTAACTATTGTTCCTATTAACCACATTATAGACCACTTAAGCCTTGCCAAACATCCTTGCAATGCTATTGGTATCCACCTAAAAGACACATGATATTTGTTCTAAGTATTGTCAAAGTTATGAAGGTTTTTGTGGTACATAGTGAAAAGTGTACATCTGTTTTTGACCCTGCAGTTACCCATTGTGCTTCATCTCGACAAATCATTTCGCACTGGAAAAACTGCCTCAGGCAGGACTGTCCAATTTGTCTTCCTCTAAAGCTTGCATCAGATAATAGAAGAGGTATTTGTTATTATCTATATTGTCATTAAATGCCAGTACCCAGCCACTGTGATAACTGGCAGTTTAGTATTCAAAACATGAAAACCCTCAAAAAATACCAAAAAAATAGTTTTTTGCAAGTCTAGTCAGAGTTTTTCTCTTATCTGGCAGTTCCTGGTTGTCCCTGGCTTTCCTAGTTTGTCTTAGGGGACAGGGGTAAATTTGGAAGGTTGTCACTAGCGTTTGATTGTAAGTTTTGTTTATGCATTATATACCCGCAGCTGTGTATTTGAAACAAATAACTGTGCTTGTTTTTCCAAGAATAATGCCCATAATTACCTTACACAGACGTGTATTGTACATATTAATGTACATATTATTTTGTGGTCTCAATGCACTTTCTCTGATTTTCACATTGTTTTTGTTTGGTCTTCTATTTAAATATAAAATAATAGATGTTGTTGTTTACAGATCGTTTACTGTTGTGTCGAAAATTGTACAGTCAAATTTTGTTCTCTTTACTGCCTACTCTTTGGTGACTGGTGTGTTTTGTCTAGGGCTTAGTTTTAAACCAAAACCTCTGTTATTGCTCTTTTGAAAATTTCTGAAGTAAAAGTTTTCTTTTACAGCAGGAGTTACAGGAAATGTTCAAGGAATGGAAAGGGCTTTTGAAGCTCTTGGACTAACCTCGAGAAATGGAGAGCCAAGATTGCAACAATTTGGTAAAAAACATTTAGTTGATATATATATCTTCCCATTTATACCATAATGGTAGAGTACTAAGTAGAGAGTTTTTTTATTGCTGCATGTACCTTTGAGGTGGTGACAAACATGAAAACTTATGTTTGATAAAAAATAAGCAGGCCTGAAAATGGGAAATATTTTGACTTGTGGTTGCAATCCTTAAGAAACCGTTCATATGTACTCTAAATTTCTTGGTGCTGCTCTAAAGCTGTGGCCAAACAAGTGCAAGACACTGACGCAACATTGCCAATTTAGACATTTGACTGCCTTGTTGCATGATGTTTAATATTGTTTGGTTTCCTTAAAACAGCATCATGTTTCCTTTGTAGGAATCAACACTTAAAAAGTATGCCTCATTTGAGGCCTTCAATTTAATTAATTCTTGCTTCTTCGTCATAGTGAAATGACTAATTTTACAATGCAGTGATCTAAGAACATATTCATTTGATTTCAGCTACTAATTCTATGATGAGATCAGACTCTGCACTAGGAATGTCAGGTTAGCTCTTTAATTTGCAGTTGCAAATTTGTTTCTCTTATTTGTGGAGTATTGTTTTTATGTTGATTGCATCTGTATCCAACTTCCAGCTCCACCACGAGTCTTTTAACCCTTTAAGTCCCAATATCCACATACAAATTCTCCAAACTGATCTCCATACATTTCCTTGAAGAATTAGTTGAGAGAATTTGGTAAAAGATCAAATTTTTTCTCTTTGTGTTCATTTTATTAATTCTCATAGACTTTGCTCATGACAATCTATGGATATCGTTAGGAGCCATGCTATGATTACTGTTAAATAGCTTTGTTTTCCTCTATCCTTTTGAGCAGATAACAGATCATTTGGTGAAACACCCTCAACTGCTACAAGGTAAATAAGAAACATTTTATTTCAAGATTCATTGGTAGTTAATAGATGTACTGTAGACATCTACCCATGGCAACAGCTGTAATTAGAGTAGGATGGAGATGTTTTCTGTCTTCACTGAAATGGGAAGAGCTGATGTTATTTTCTTTTTTCCAGCTCAACTGGTGGTGGTAATCGTGGTCCAAAAGAATGGCATCAGCATGTTACACCAGATCTCAGGAATCATCTCGTTCATAAACTGTAAGTGTATTGTTTTTATGGAAAAAACCCCCGACGTATCTGCCAGTGATGTGCCAATTCTTAATTATAATCAATCACCGTTTTCTCAGACTACAGCCCCCGACTTTTTGTAACAGCCCGCTGGTATTATCATTTTAATTCTGGACGAGATGAAGCCAAAAGCCGTAACTCTCGGCAAGCCTATTCTTTAATATGCTCTCACTATGTGTACTGTTGCAGCAACTGCTAATTATCAGAAAGTATAATACCAAAATTGTTTTTGTTGTTGTAGTGTGACAGCAATCTTCCCAACTCCAGTGCATGATCCAGCTGCCCTGAGAGATCGGCGCGTGGGGAATCTTGTTTCATATGCACGTAAGATAGAAGGGGATATGTATGAGACAGCAAATAGTAGGGTAAGTTGAATAAATGGGGATTTATACGTACATTGTAGACTTACTCATAACCGTAATACTTATGGTGAATGAAGTGCATCTAAAGGCTTGTTCCCTTTTGATTGCTGTGATCATTACACCAGGGAAAAGAAAGTTCTGTGATCATTTGCAAACATTTCGCTGATGATTGTCATGGCAACAAACGCTGGAATAGACTTCTATGCTGTCTTAAAGCTGGGTCCACATAACTACTACAGTTTTATTGCACAGACAGCTAGATGTTTTCAGCCATCAAGGCGATCATGTTAAAGATTATGCTAGAGTTGCAAAGTCTAAAAAAGTTATTTTCATTCAAAGCAGTTTGAGCAAAATGGTGTTAATTGTTTCATTCATGTAAAATTATTGTAGGTAGATCATTAGATGTACATGTAGACAAGAAGCTAAAGACTTTGCTTATAAATTACACAGGAGGAATATTTTCATCTGTTAGCTGAGAAAATCTATAAAATTCAAAAAGAGCTAGAGGAAAGACGTCAAGAAAGACTGCATCAGCAGATGAGAGTGAATCCTATTGAAGGAGGACAAGGTAAGAGAGATGTCAAAAATTACTTGAAAGAATAATGCAAGCTTCAAATGAGATACGTTGTATAACATCACAGTGTTATAGTGTGAACTGAAATGCTTACGGTGAAAGCTGGTCAAGTATTTTTTGGAGGGATATAGTGACTTCAAATTTTTTTAAGTTGATTAATTAAAAATAAAGCTCATTGTTCTTTTCAACATTGCAGGTATAAGTTAGAGAAATAAAAATTTTTAAGAAGTCGTATGATTCAAGAGGATTTTTTTATTTGATTAGTGAGGCATCTTATAATAGACATGTGTAGTTGTCTAAAGCTAACATGGAGAACCTGCCAAGTTGTGTGAATACATGCAGCCTTACTTCTCAAAATGCCTAAACTGTGAAACCCTATTTGAACTGTTACTTCAGGTTTGTAATGAAAAGCTCTTATTAACTACCACACATGTTAGAGCCCATAAACTAAAAACGTTTATTTTCGTAACTGAAAGCACACATTACTACCAGAACCTCTGCGAAACACTGCGTTTGCCTTGGTCTTCTCTCGGAAGCCTCTCGGAAACAAAGGAGCTGTGACGTAGATTAAGGAACACGAAAGATTAGATACAAGTAAACAAGTGTGGAGTTCTAGGAATATTTCTTCAAATCCATAAACTGAAACAGCTGTTAAAAGGTAAAACATGCCAGGAAGAAGCGATGTAATTAGATGCAACGACACTGGCGACCCTAAGAAAGGAATTACATGAATAAAATCCTCTTTTTGAAATCCTAGATTATTTATGTCTAATGATGGCAAACAGGAGCTGTCAATTTACAAAATGTAGTGCTCAGCGGAACAGGTGTGCAAAAGAAATGTATGTTTAAAAAATTCTAAAAGAAGATCACATTTTGCTCAAAACGTAATCTTTTCCAAAGAAGTTTCAACTTGCAATACAAGTAATATGTTCTTTCAGTTAACATAATAAACATTTTTACGTCGTAGATTGCAACCACTTTTGTTCAGTATCTGGTTGATCTTTTCCTTTTTACATTCTTGAAAATTTTCCTGAAGCAGCATATTTTAAGTCATTTAACAGAAAACCAGCGTTCCTAAACCTAAATTAGAATTTGGTTGTATTTTCTTTCTTGCGATCCTGAAAACTAACCTGTTTTCTCATGCACCACCTGTCTTGTAAGTGCAGCTTTATTCCAAATCTTTTTACTTTTAGAACGGCTCGACGGAATTCTTTTTAACCTTCATCACCGACTCATCACGTAATCTTCTCGATGTATACGATGATGTATGAAACTTCATTTAGATTGATGCACTGTAACACCTTGAAATTTCAAGACAAACCTAGCCTACGAACCGGCCAAAAATCCTCGTTACAATAAAACAGTGAATGGTGCAACTGTTATCAAATCTGATAGGGAATCGAAGGCGACTTATCTTTTATTTTGGATTCCGTGAGAGCTTTCAGCATATCCGGGCTGAAAGGATCTTTTTTGTCTCGCGGCCTGCCAAAAATTCTCTGAGCCGCACTTAATCATAGAGGAAACCAGAGGGTGATCAGATATCTTCGGTAAGGCGGCCAGATTCTGCGCCCAATCAATGCTAAACAACTCACTGAGTAGCGGAGAAGGACAGTCGGCTACATTAAGACGACAATGCAGGTAAAGCGCCGTCTGGAAAGTGTTGACTCGCACTGTGGCAAAAACGGTTGAACGAAGCCCATCTTCCCCATCTCTTGAAATCTCCAAGTTAAGCACGCACAGTCTCACCACGCTGGCCAGTGGCTGGAGCGATAGAAAGGAATAGAAGCAAAAAACTCGGTCCAAATGTCGGACTTGAAAACATCTGAAAAGAAAAAATACTGATACACACACACAAGAAAATATTGCTAAAAAGAAGGAAAGAAACAGGGCTCACTCTCGAAAGCAAATTTAAAGCCGCCCGGAACACGGGCTCAAAAAATCCGCTAAAATGAATTGGGCACCGATGGTCCCTTCATATGAACACGGATGGTCTCTCATAGGAACACAGATGGTCCCTGGTCGTTAAAGTAAAAAACGAGAATAAACTCTGAATCAACAAATCGGAAATATATATCACCTACAAACTTGAACAAAAAATAAAGTAAAACGTGAACGTAGATCGCCTTCCGGAAACGAGCACCAAGAGAATGAAAAAACCTAACACCATTCCTTAAATACTCTACCAAGTCCCTTGATACTAAATACCGAAAAGAGAAATTTTTGCGCTTAACGCAGATAAATTGAAATTTACACGTAAAGTTGCAGACTTAGACACGTAGTGAGAAAACAGGTTAGATTTTAGGATCGCGAAAAGAAAATACACCAAAATTTCCAAGAAGCGAAATATGATATTAAGATGCATTCTGCCGGTAATCAAGATTGTTTTGAATTATTTAGAACTTTCATTCAAACAATATATCAATATATCAATATAAGGTTTCAAACATACCTGCCTTCTATTTGCTATCAAACATACAGATTTTTTTCTTCTCACGCGGTGGTTATTTGGTAAGGGACTGGTCAAAAAGTATAGGGGGGTTGGGCCGGAGCACAGAGGGGGCGGGTCATGAGGTTTTGAGCCTTGTGCAAGGGGTGGGTCGTGCAATTTTCAGCTACCCTTAGTGGGTGGGTCGCCCTATTTTATTACATAGATAGGCACTAACTACTAACGAGACAGTTGACCACACTTGTTATATAAAACACAGCCAGCTGGAATCATTGCTAAAATACTCACAAACCTGTTGTGCGAGAAAATACAAGGGGTGACAGGCCGCACATCTATACGGGCGTGGAACCCTCTGTTAACCTTTTTTTTTTGGCTCTAACGAGCATGTCCTTTAATGATTTTCCTTTTTTGTAAGGAAATGATTGGTGGTTCTTTAAAAATTTATTGAAGTTATAGTTGGTTTTGTATAAGATTCCATTTTTTCATTCAAGCTTCCTTTATAGTAGACACTGAGGGCTGGTATTGTGTCACGAATGGCAGTATTTCTTTTTCCTCCTTGTTGTTTTGTTTTAGGAGTTTAGACTCCCTTTTGTGAATTTTATTTCTGATAGTAGTTTTTCTATCTAAGATTGTGGGTAGCCTCCGTCCATCAAGCGTTTTTTTTTAAAATTTGAATTATTTTCCTCAAAGGCTGTTTCTGAGGAGTTTTTTCGTGGGATTCTCAAGGCCTCTCCTTTGACAAATCCTTTTTTAACATTTGGAGGGTGACACGAGGTGAAATGTGTGTGCAAAAAGGTTTCCGTTTGTTTAAAATGTGTCTTTGCATCAATGATAGATTTTTCCTTGAATCTTGTGCCTTTGTATACAACCGTGTCTAAAAACGCAGTCTCAGTGTCAAATGTTTCGGCCGTGAATTCAATAGTTGGGTGATGTAAGTTTGCTGAATGAAGGCTTCGATGTCTGGTTCACTCATGTCCCATAGGGGAAAGATATCGTGTATGTAACATTTCCAAACTGTTGTTGGAAAGACAGTTTTGCTTAGAGTTGTTGTTTCAATATATGTCATGAAATATTGGCAAAGGAATCAAAACTGCTGCCTTTGTGCCCATTGCAGTTCCATGGTTTTGTAGGTAGTGCTTTCCACTGAAGTGGAAGAAATTTTCTTTGAGTATTAATCTAAGCATTTCTGGCAAGTAATGTGTAGGAATGGGTTGTCTTTGTATAAATTTTCAAATCCTTTGTGACAGACAATTTCAATATACCCTCGTTTTGCTGTATATTTTTGTCAAGACTCATAACGTCCATCGAAACAAGAAATGTTCGGTTTTTTATATTTGTCTTTTCAGTGAAAGATATGATTTCTGTGATTTTGATATTGGTTGTAGCAGTGTATCAAAAAAATTTTGTCAAGCACAGAACAAGCTTTTATTGGATTATTAAGAGGAAACCAAACATCCATGTTTTAACTAGGGGGTGGGTCATGCAATTTCCAACCTTGCTTTAGGGGTGGGTCAGTCATTTTTGTGCCGAAGGGAGAGGGTGGGTCATGTGTTTTTTATCAATCACATTTCCAAATGCTCCGGCCCCCCCCCCTATACTTTTTGACCAGTCCCTAAACACCAAAATTTAAGTTCCATTTAACTTTTCAGTGGCAAGTCCAGATCGCGCAAAATTCGGCTTTATCGACTTCAAAGTTTTTTGTTTATTGTTGTCATAGTGATAGCGATTTTACAAACTTCAATCCAAAATTTCACAGTGATCGGACAAGGATATCAATATAATCACTTTTAAGGCGATTTGAAAACATTGGTATGGTCTCCGAAAAACTGTATCGAAAAACCTTAACTTGTGATTTCGTTTAGAAACTAACATGCTTCACCTCAATTTGAAACTATGATCAATTTTAATTTGCTAAACTGATTCTTGCTATACTTTCACATTTGATTCTAGCCTTTGTGGAAGCTAGAGGAGAAAAGGCACTTGCCGCTTTTCACAGAGCCCTTGAAACTGGTGGTAGCACGTATGATAAGCGTGTTAAAATTTTGCTTGTTGGACAGGACCGTGTGGGTAAAACGAGCCTTGCTAAAGCTTTAAGAGGTGAACCTTTTGATGAAGCCGAATGCAGTACTGACGGAGTGCAAATGATCCCTGCTGTCAAGAATGCTGGAACAGGCGCGTGGAGAAATCCAGCTTCTGTTGAACACACAACAGTGTTTGATCATAAGGTCGCTGCAAAGACCGCTGAGAATTTATTAAGAACACATTCGGAGCAGCCAGCAACGAATCAACCAACAGAAACCTCGATTAGAAGTGAAGCTAAGAAACCTCCTGAGAAACCAACAGGAGTAGCCTCGAAGCAAACAGGGCAGTTATCTATTGGAGATGGTTAGTGCAAAAAACCTTCGGTCAGTCTTTAACTGTTGCTGAGACGCTGAAAACTGTATTTTCCGTAAAATCCTGAGAACGTTTCGGTTATGTAGGTAGACAAACCACTCTGCTGGTTTAAGAGTTTCTATTTCATTGATCTATCGTTACTTCTGTGGTCGTAAAATTAATGGAAATTTTGAGAAGCTGGAGTCCTTTTTCTTTAAGCCCCGGTAAATATAAATAACTGTGAAAATGAAATGATCTGCGTGTCACGAGCGTGGGACAAAGAAAAAAGTCTGAGTCCTCGACAGGATTTGAACCTATGACCTTCCAAACACCGGGCGGGCGCTCTGTCCATTTGAGCCACATGAGCTTGAGAACTCATGGAGAATAACTGGTTACCTTTACGACCTTTACGGTCCGAAATCAATGATCAGATCAAAATATAAACGACAAAAACGCGGTTCCTAGATTAGGGACCAGCAATACACTTTGTTTTGAATACTGATATTATCTGCAAACCTATTGAAACTTCGCTCTGTAATGTAAGCGTCAAAAGCTTTTCGGGCCCGTTAGTTATTGGGATTTTTGGGAAACGGTCCCCCGGGCCGGTCCCTGGCTTCTCACACAGGCTTAAACGGCACCCAAGATACCAACAGCGGTCTATTTGCTTCTTATGATGTCGGGTCGTAACCTTAGCAACCTTTTGTCAGCAATTTTGTCCACAAACAGCTATTTCGAGAAAAGTTGTCGGAAAAAGGTGCACGCGACAATCCCGAAAGGTATTGTGGGTGGCTTTGAGCTAACTGTTCTTCAAAGATAAGAAATTTGAAAGAATGTCTCGAGAGCCTGACTTATGTTAGCGAGTGTAAAGAGAAGCAGCAACAATGTCAGGAACAGTGTATTGATCATATCCCATATTACCTTCTCAATAGAATCAAGCACCTTCTTGATAGACAGACGCTACTTTTACTTATTAATGCTTTTGTTTTCAGTAAATTGTTTTATTGTTCCTCCGTATGGAGCAATACCTCTAAAACAAACGTAAAAAAATGCAATTAGCTCAAAACTCTGCTGGTAGGATAGTTCTTGGTCGCCGGAAGTATGATCACATCTCTGAGGGACTGAAGTCACTTAGATGGCTTCCTATTGCTGATAAAGTACTTTTAAATGTTTCTGTTATGGTCCATAAGTGCCTAAATGGTCGAGCACCAGACTACCTTTGTCAAAAATTTACTTGTAGACAAGCTCATATCGACAGAAATACACGATACAAAGAAGACCTGAATCTGCCGAGATGCAGATTAAAAACTGGGCAACGATCTTTCGCCTTTAGAGGGGCTACTTGTTGGAACCTTGAACTACCAAAAGACATGAAGGAAGTAGCAGATTGCCGAATTTTTAAGAAGAGACTTATAGTTATGTTCTTTAAGCGACGTTCATCACTTAAGTACTTAAAATTAGGTGACTAGTTTAATAATTTTTTTTCTTGTATCTAGTTAGTTGTTAAATAGTTAGCTCATTGTGACTGAAAAGCCCCGTAAAGGGAGTCTAAATAAACGTATATATATATGTATTACCTTTCGGGATTGTCGCATGCACATTATACGTAATGAAAAAGTCGCCTCCATAAAAGAGAAGATCTTCTGACAGTAAAATTACCTTAGATTTGGCCCAATTTTAGCAGTTTCAAAGAAGCGAAACCAAAAAAGAGCCTGAACATGCGTTAGCACTGAAATGTTATTGGAACATCGAAGAAAACCTGTTTGGTGGTGGTATCAAACCCGTGATACTGCACATCAACCCGTTTAAACCCAAGGGCTTGCTCGCAGGAAAAACGCTTTGAGATAACTGAACTCATTTAGTTCGCCTTTCACCGTACAGAAGCCCTTCTCCTGATCTGATTTTGTCTTTGCATCAATTTTTCTTCGTAGTTATGTTTCCATTGTATGTAATTTAAATTCTTTCCTGGGAACGATTTTTCCCGGCGAACTAAAAATAATAAGGTGTAGAGAGTACAATGTGGTAGGCTTATATCTGTTTTCTGACTTTTGTAGCCCAAAGATGGACTTCACTTCTTCTCATATTCTTTTTCTTTCTATTGCCACACCCTAATCCGTCAACAACTAATGAAGAAAACCTTCCAGTCGACCAAGAAGAAAATGTTCCAAGAGAGAGTCAGAAGAAAAGCGTTCAAAGAAATCGTATAAGTTAACACTATTGCCATCTTTAGGTTAACCCCTTCATTTTCTTTAGAGAAAAGTGAATTCGACTCTTACAAAAAAAAATTATACTTAACATGCTGTTTGTGCGTAGAACGCGCTATAAAAAGGTTACCGATTCACGGCTTTACTTGATTATCGTATCGTTTTTGTCTCAATGCATTTCAGTTGGGACACCTGCGATCGCCCCCTACCGACAGAGTCAGTAGTTTTGGGCTGCGTGCGGTTATTCATTTACCTTAAAGGTGCTTGAGTAGCATTGCACCGTGAAAACGTGCGCCGTGACCCAAACTTTTTATTACGTTTTTGTCATGACTTTGACAACAGGGTGTACCATGTTTCATCGATAATCGTTGTCAGGTTCTTTTACTAGTGAATCACTTTAAGCCTCTATTTTGACTTTCTTCTTACAGAGCACCAAGATCTATTTCTAGTTCCGGAAGGGGAAGTAATGCCAGAGGAAGTTGCCTCGCTTTTGGAGGAAAACCTAGCGAAAAATGAATTCCACCCTGATGAAAAAATTTGGCCCGAAATTTGGGACTTTGCAGGACAGGACATTTACCGTGCTATACATCCAATCTTTATGTCAACAGAGGACATTTATCTTCTTGTTTTTGATCTTACAAAGGAGCTCAGTGAAAAAGCAGTGTGTCGAGTGAATGTGGGTCAAAAAGAGCACGTTGTAACAGCCCGCGATGATGAAGACACCAATTTGGATCACTTATTACGGTGGATGGGCTTGATTCACTCTTTAGTGAAGGGTAATCAGAAAGACGAAGAGGGTTTTTTGTATCCCCCAGTCATACTTGTCGGTACTCATGCTGACGGTGTAGAAAGTCCAATCAAAAAAATGGAATTAGTGATAGAGAAATGTAAGCGCGTGATTTGTAAAGAGAGTTATTTACCACACATCAGAGGTTGTTTATCGATCGATAACACAAAAGCTGGCAAATCAGTCGACCAGGAAGAAATAGAAAATCTTCGAGCAAAGATTCTCGAGGTAGCCGATAAAATGCCTCACACCAAGAAACTGATCCCCTTGCAGTGGCATCGTGTTGAGAAAGAAATTATTCAACCGAAATGGCAAAGAGAAAATTTTCTCCCTAAGGAATCTTTTCTTAAAAATATTGTTTTACCCAACTGCACTTTTGAAAAGGAAGATGACTTTGAAGAACTTGTGCATTTTTTGCATTCCCGTGGGACAATTGTGTACCATGAACATGAGTATGATGAAAAGAAAGAAGGTCTGGTTATTTTGGATCCCCAGTGGTTAATTAACATATTCTGCAAGATTATCAACGTGAATCCACAAGAGAACGACCCATTGTTTATACAAGCAGATCGAAAGGAGTTGGCAGAAAAAGGGATTCTTTCCAGGCGGTTGATTGATTACACTTGCAACGATGAAGGTGTGAATTCTATTAAAGACTGTTTGATTTCGTTAATGGATAAGTTCAACCTCATCTGCCATTGCCGTCAAGAAAAAGGTCAAAAAGGTGAATCACAAATCCTCGTCCCTTGTATGCTGCGGACCGCTATTAAATATCAAGACAAAGAAAGTGAAACTGGATCTCCAGTACCTATATACCTCACCTTTCAAACTGAGTATGTTCCGAACGGACTTTTCTCCCGACTCATTGTGCTGTTTGTAAAAAATCCGCAATATACAAATATGTACGAGCTGACATCAAGTAAAGCCGGATTTGTTCTTGACAAGAACGACAACCATCTATTTCAAATGGAGCGCTACAAGAGTGTTATTAAGCTGGGTTTCAGAAAAGCTGACGGCAGTCTTACCCAAGAGCATTATGAATATGTTTTAAGGTAAAAGTAATACCGTCTTTCTACACACATCTTTAAAAGTCGAATATTATTTCTTACTGTTACTACTGTTACTTCTCTTGTTTGATGCATATCCGTCGTCGACCTGCTAGGCAGGAAAACCGGCAACGGATGTATGACATGAGCGATATTACTGTTTTGAATTTGTTTATGTGGTTTTTCGGTAAAATTTCCGTATAGCCCCATATGTGTACTCAGTGCATTCGTGGACTAACTTCGACTCTATCCATATTAACTTACCGACGCAGGCATAATAAATGTAGGGAGCTGTGCGGAAATCTTACCAAAATTTATTGTCTCAGGTTGCCATAGTCTACTTAGAAAGCTTTAGATTATAAATACATGTAGAGCTTCTTTTTTTAGCTCAAGTTTTTTCCGGGCTTTTTTGCCAAAACTTTATTGGGTCTTTTTTTTTTTACTGATTCGTAGCCAGTTAGATGAATTCTTGGAAAAGCTTCAAAGGGAGTGTCATTGGCTGGAATCAATGTCTGTGGAGTTGTCTGCTCGATGCACGGTCTGCATAGGAACAGCGACAACAGAGCCCTGCGCGAGGCACGAGGAAAGGTCATGTAGGCACCATGATTGTGGTCACTACATACCTCTAGACGGAAGAAGTCTTTGCTGTAAGCCTGGTCAAATGCTGGACAAAAAACCACTCAAGCCTTGGATAAAGGCTATCAAACACGTTTCTAAGGTACGTAACGTACATGGATGACCCTTAAGCTTGATAAGACAACCGTTTAACGACATCGTTAAAGTTTCTCAAGTCACTTACCAACCGAGCCTCTATATGTTCGATAACGAAAAAAATGGAAATGCAACTCTAGAGTCCAAAAATTATATTAAATATCTTGGCGTGTAGATTGATAAAAATCTTACTTGGAAATATCACATTGACGCCATTACGGCAAAAATCAGTAAAACCGTTGGACTAATTTCAAAACTTCGGCACTCCATACCCCGTCATATACTGTTATATATTTACCAAACATTAATCAACCCTCACCTAAACTATGGTCTTGCTGCCTGGGGTCAGGCATCCAAGACGTCCCTCAATAAAATTTTAATTCTCCAGAAGAAAGTGCTTCGCATGATGTATTTTACGGATATACGTGAACACGCAATTCCTCTATTTATCGACGCTGACATGTTACCAGTGTCATTTATGTATTATAAAACTGTGGCTAATCTAATGGACGATATTAACAACAACAATTCGCCAACAAATCTGCTCAATTTATTTGAAAAAACCTCAACAATTCATTCATACTATACAAGATCATCTAGTTCAGGTAATTTTCGCGTCAAAAGCTCAAAGCTGGAAATACACAAAAACTCCTTGTCTCGCTTTGGTGTAAAACTTTGGAATGAAATTCCTTGTCATATTAGAGATCTTCCTAAAAAGAAATTTAGGAAAGTAATTCACAGATTGCTTTCGGATATCTTAAAAAGAGAAGATGACTATATTGAGACGCCCTTAATAGTTGAAAAAGTTCGATTAATAGTTTAGTGATTTCTGTATTAAAGTATTTGTTTGTTTGCTTGTTCAGATTTAATGTAATTAAAATAAAACTGTGATAGAATATTATTTATTGTAACTTAAAATTGTAGTTTTCCTTCCATTTCCTTTCCTTTCTTTTCCTTTCAATTTATTTTTCTTTTAACTGGTCCGCCTAGATTAGCAATTGCTATTTTGCGGGCCAGTCTGTTGTAACCAACAGTCTTATGAAATAAAGTTGAAGTTGAAGTTGAAGTTGAAGTTGAAGTTGATGTAATTCAGATAAAGTTGCTCGCAGTTTTTTACTTTCGCGACTGACTAATGTAGTGCAATGAATATTAATGAGAGTAAGCCGATTTTTGACAATACATGTTCAGTTTTTATGAGCTAAAGCTTCATTGTAAAATGATTTTCGTGACAAGAAATTTTGATGTATGTATTGAGACAAATAAGGTGGAAATATGTATAAAATGATTCATATTAAAACAAGCAAAGTAATTAATGGTTTGGATGAAGTCAGAAATAGGCTAGTCACATATGAACAAACTCATTTTTGAGTAGAATATGCACCATTTGGTTAAATTTATTTCTTTGCAGAGGCTGAGGCGTTCCAGCTTACTTTTTAAAACTGAACAACCAGGTAAGTCATCATTTCAGTTACACCATAGTACGAAAATGTGACAGCAGTATAGGACTACCATTCTTCGTTCAAGTGAATTTTGTGCTGTTATAAAAGTTCTGAGACGCCTACCTCCATCGTAATCTAGTTCTTTGCAAACTCATAACTCTCTGCTACGCCCACTCTTTACATTATCGATAAATAAATCACAATAATTATGATAATAATAAATCGTAAATCATGCAGCTAAGAATATTAAAACATAATTTCGCAAGGCATTTTAAAAATCCTCGATTCCTTGGGCCTTCCTTATTTTTGCGGGCAAGGAGTTCCCCAACATGGCAGTAATGTAAGAAAACGATTTGTGTAGTCATTCGTAATTAAAAGAAGAACCTTTTCGAATAAAAAAAAAAAACAGAAAGCACAAAAGGAGAAAACACTGAAGATGACTGAAGGTGTGCTATACACTACTTTTATGTTTATGGATACGTTTAACCTGCTATCCTGAACAGTGGAAACAGTTTTCTGTCCCGGGGGGTACTCAACAAAGTTTCATACGGGGAGGGTCCGCCCTGAGGTCCAACCCCTTACCCTTTTATATACCATATTTGGCAGAAAAGGTACCCCTTTAGTTTACCTTCCATTGACAAATGGTACTCCTTTAGAACTTAGCATCCGTTTTAACTGCCGTAAATGCACTATCTTTAAAACATGAATAAGTCAAAAAACCAGAACTTTCTCTTAGCCACATGTCCATCAACACTTTGTAACAGAAAGCGGCTGAATTTTTGTTTCGTTCTTAAAAGCAAGGGTTCATTCAAAGAGTCATTAGAGAGGACAGGTTTGAAAAGAGTACGTCATACCATCATAGTAGGAGTGGGCACAGTGTGGGCCTTTCTGCTGACTGTGGTTTATCGTACAGGTCTTAGATAGTGATGCGTATAGAATGAAATCCTGCAATACTCTTTTTCGCTTGTATTTAGATGTAGAAGAACCACCCGAGAAGAAAAAGAAAAGAGAAACACCAAAAGCACGAGAGATAACTGAAGGTACGCTTTAAGGCTCTCTGTATGTTTTTTATAATCCGTACATTTTAATAGAAAATTGACTGTATTTTCTTCTGCACATCACTGACTTAATAATCAAAGGAGTTTTTCCTAAACGGATAATAATAATATAAATGGACGATACCTTTTTAATTAAATACAGTGTCCCTTTCTAAGAAGCTGATACAATATTCAAGATACCCACAAAACCGGAGTTTAGTGAGGGCAATTTAATCGAACATTACTACTTAGGTTTTTCTTTTCGGTGTAAGTTCCACTACAGTACAGGCCTACTATCCATCGTTGTAGTTGATATCTGTGACTTTAAAGTAGGAAGGGGGAGGGGGAGTATACTTAACAGGTTTTAGAAACTGATGAGCATAAGGTGAAATCCATCTTTGCTTATTGCTTTCATAGACGAAACTCCAGAAGAAAAGCGAAAAAGAAAAGAGCAGATGGTGGTGATGGAAGTGGATGAAGGTACACACCAAGACAGGATAATATAAAAACCTGATTAGAAAGTTCTTAAGCAGCGTCTTCCTAAGGGTCGTCTTGTTTTTGTAGCACGCACTATGTCACCGTCTGTTTTAGTCCGTAATTAAGGACTCGTAGGGCACGTTGTTAATGTTTAACCTTCGGAGCAAATACCCGCCATCGTCCATTATTTTTTTTTGCGACGAATTTAATCATTCTCTGATTGGTTTAGCCATATTTCTATCCATCCGTAATTAATTGCCTTATGTGTTGTTTGATGTCTTTTGAGTTTTAGTAGTAAAGAATATTTTTGAATTGTTTTGAATATTGAACATTACGCCGTTGGAATACGCAAAAACGAAACTATATGTAAAAATTCAATTTAAATGTCACAAATTTGCTAAAACTTTGCCTCTGACCGCCTAACTAACTTTACGTGCCAAAAGACGAATCACTCTTTGGAAAAAAGTGAACCTGTAGATTTGAAGTCACTACATAACGTGACTCCCGTGATGATGGTCTTACGTTTGGCAAGCACGTAGTCTTTGGTGGACATTCGGTTCCTTGTGAGCTGCATCCTCGGAGACCTGGGGGCCGTTAGTCGGGTCGGG